ATGGGGGTTGAGGAGAAGACAGGTGAACCCCCCCCCCAAAGCTCACTAGCCAGTTGGTCTAGTCAACCAATGAGAAACAGGTTCAGCAAGAGACTGTCCAAAAATGACAGTCACAGGGAAAGACACCTGGCATTGACCCCGGAGCTCCACATGTACACATGCAGGTATGCCCATAACACACACATGCATGCAAACGCTCAAAAGTAAGAATGAACTCCGATATTCACAAAATACACCGAGGCATTAGACAATCTTCAGTGTTATTAGCGCGAAAGAAAAGGCTGTGTTTCTACCTGTGCTCTGCCTTATTAGAAATAAAGACAGCCAAGGTGACACTATAGGTTTCAAAACAACATGTTGAATTCCCAGACTGAACTTAGTTAACCACACTGACTTTTGAAAATGGACACAGCTCACGGGCTTTGACATTGTTTCAGCTGGAATCCTTATTTAAAGAGAGCTGTTTCTAACAGGGATTTAAATTCTCTCCATCCACGAAGAATCAGCAGAGTATTTTCTTTCCTCTTTGTTATTACTCTCCAGTCCCCCAAAGGGAGAAATCCCCGTTTTCAGTGACTCTTCCTACCTCTTGTATTCCAGGCAGGATACATCTCGAGGCCCCAATATAGGGCATGGCTGATACCGTGAACCGCAAAGCTATAGAGCCACTTAAACATTCAGAAAGGCAACTCCACCATTCCGTCATAGGTCTCAGCTCCAGCCAGTTTAAACATTTCAGCACAGACGACCTCTGAACACTTAGCTGGCTGCTTGTGAGAGGAAAATGTCTTAAGGGAAAAGAGGAGTCTTCAAGCCACGGCAGGCACAGAGACACTATTACCCGCCATCTCACAGGCTCCAGTCTTTTAACCCAAAGCCAGGATGGGCAGGACAGCGTAGGTTTCTATGTAATGAAAAGGAAGCCTGACACACACACCTCTCTCTAGCTAGCATCTAACACACACACACACACACACACACACACACACACACACACACACACACAGCATTTGGGCAAAGACAAGAGCGTTGTTAGGGGCCAGTGCAACTTGTTCCCCAGGCATGTCCTGAATGTGGGAGGCCACTGCAGCTGCCGCCCCTTGAGACAGGCTGCGTGGGTCCCTGCCAGTGGCCACAATGCCTCACCGGCCTTTGCCAGCTGTCACGCTTTGCATGCTGTTGGAGCTCTGGGCCCAGCACAAGGGGCTATGCAAGTCACCAGCTCCAAAGAGTGCCAAATCCTGTGCCCATGTTGGGACCGTACGGCCACCCGGAACTTTCCTTGTATCCTTGATGGGGGTGGGGGGGTTCCTCCTCCAAAATGGGCTGATGAAGTGGGGCCAAGGGCAAAACTAACCAGGGATACCCACAACCACAGGGTCTCCTGGAGGGAGGTTTCTTCTTGCCCTTGCCTGTGGGTGGGAAACACTCCGGGCTACTATGACTCATGACTGGGTTTTACCTCTGTGTCATTGCCTAGGGCTCCTGCCTATGCAGTGGACGGAGGAGGAGGCCAAAGGGAAGGATTGTCCCAAGCTAGTACTTTGAACTAAGGGGTCCAGAGAGAAAGGGCAGAAGAGCAAGGCCTGCCAAGTCGGCTCAGGGTTCCTGGAGGTAGTGCCCTGGGTACCCACTCTTCCGGAGCATGGCTTGAACCCACAACCTTGACAGTACTGGCTACACTTTGGCTGGACACTCCATCTTTCACCCAGTCTGCTACCCTTTCCCTTACAGCTCTCTCCTGGGCCTCCTGGAAACTTGGGCCAGGAGGAGGGGTTTTAAGAAGCTGTTTGCTGATAAAGAGGCGTTGCCTACCTATCTGAAGGAACTTGCTAGTCCAGCACTACCCGAGAGCCTCATTTTCTACCACGTTCAAGGGGATCAGAAATCCTAGCTACCAGGGTCCTGTGCGAATCAAAGGCAAGAATCCACGAAAACATTTCAGACTGCTCAGCCTAATGGACGCATGACTAGCGAGGCGTTGGTTTCTCCCTATTTCCTTGGCGTCTCTTTGCTTTGCTTCCCGTCTGGTATGATTTGGTTTTGAACTTGTCCTCTTGGAACCCCCTCCCCTCTACCCAAGTGGCCCCTCTCACCTTGTCAGCCAAGGCTCTTCTGGGGTGAGGGGACCCTACCAGCTCCCTCCTCTCTGCAAAGCTGTCCACACTCTGGAGTGAGCACCAGTCGGTGTTCGCACGTTACAAGGCGGAGCTGATTACTGTGAGTTAGCGGAGATTTCAAACCCATCAGAAGGGCGTAGACCCCTGCTCTGACAACCATCCTGGCTGGACAAGAGGGTACCGCACAAGACAATCCGGGCTAGAGAGATGCCATCAGTGGTGGCCGAGTACGACAGAGGAAGGCAGATGGAAGATATCCCAGGAAAAGAAGCGAGCTGCATGAAGCTGCGTGAAACTGCACCAGTGCAGATGCAGCCAATGGGCACCCAGAGCAAACATCAGCTCTCATGGCAGACCCCTTTGTCTTACACCGGCAGTTCTCAACCTGTGGGTCACAAACCCTTTGGAGGTCAAGTCACCCTTTCACAGGGGTCACCTGAGACCATCGCAACAGCATCAAGGTTGCAGTTATGAATTTGCAGCAAGAATAATTTTATGGCTGGGGTCGCCACAACATGAGGAGCGGTGTTGAAGGGCTGCAGTGTGAGGGAGGTGGAGGACTGCCGTCTTACACCAAAAGTGCCATCTTTTGTCACACCAAGAGCTGCACTTTCAGCCATCTCTGGGAGCAGCGTGCACACCTGCTGTTCAGCAGGTGACAAGTAGCCACTGGTCACTATTGTGCACTTGAAGTAACAAGTGTACAACCAGAGAAGCAATTCTGAGCCTCATCTTATTAGTTAATTCACACTCAAATAACCACCTGTGGCTACCATCTTAGACACCAAATGGCTCTTCCTGGGGACATTTCTTGACTTCCGACAAGAGGCAGATATGTGCCCCGCTTGTGTTCAGAGATGAAATTTTACACTGAGTAATCCTATTGTACTTGGGGAAGAGAAAGATTCGGCCCCACCCTCAACAGATAGGAATGCATAGGGTGTTTTCCATCTGATAAGAGCCCAGAGAGGGTTTTGCTTGAGCAAGAGTCAAGTCACTGATAAAATGATGTCACACCCTTTGAGGGAGGAAGAGACAAACTGAACCCCAAGGACTCGTCCTTATAGACTTTTAGATCAGAGAGATGGGGTCAGAGTGACAGAGACAGATCATCCATTGCCACTGTCGGGTAGCCGGACACTCCGTTCTCAGAACCTGATGGGAAATTTTGTACTTACACACATACACACACCCAGAATATACCCACATTCATGGGAGCATTACCAGTCATAAGACTGAAATCATCCCCTGTGCACTATAGATAAATGGCAGGCACTATGGCTACAGGAAACGTAATATATTATCTGGAAATGTAGTATGCTATTTGGCTTTCACAAGGAAGAATTCAGGCTGGAGCTGCAGCTCTGTTGAAGGGATGCTTGCCTGCTCTGCACACAACCCTGGTTTCAGATCCTCACCAATGCATAAACTGGGTATGGTAAAGAATGTTTTTAACCCCAGCATCTGGGAGGCAGAGGCAGGAGGATCATAAGTTTAAGGTTGTCTTTTCATGACTATTGAGTTGGAGGCCAATCTGGGATACAGGAGACTGTCTCAAAACAAACAAACAAACAAAAACAAAGGAGGGAGAAGAATTTAGATGCATGCTATATCCAACGCAGATGAAGCCTGAACACATGCTAAGTCACCAAAATGAGCCACCACTAAAGGACAAATACTACACAATGCTGCTCAGATGGGAGGCTCTGAGCAAAATGACCACACACACACCACCGGGGTGGTGATGACTAAGGTGGTGAAGTGGTGGCTAATCTGGGTTGTCAACTTGACACTCCTGGGCAGAGGAACCTCAAAGGAGGAAATGGCCTCCATCAGATTGGCTGGTGGGCATCTCTACAGGCATCTTCTTTATTGCTAATTGCTATCCCCACTGTGACTGGTACCGTTCCCTGGCTGGTAGTTCAGTGCTGTTTAAGAAAGGTAACAGAGAGTCTGGGGAAGCAAGCCAGAAAAGCAGCTTTCCTCAGTGGGCTCTTCTTGATTCTTACCTCTGTGCCTGCTTGAGTTCAAGTCCTGGCTTCCCTCAATGAGGAGCTGTGATTGGCAAGTGTAAGCCAAATGGACTCCTCCTCCCCAAGTTGCCTTTGGCCATGCAGTTTATCACAGCGATAGAAAGCAAGCTCACACAAGCAGAGAGGTTTTTCTTTTTAACGGTTATCAGAAGTTATAGAGGTGTGTGTGTGTGTGTGTGTGTGTGTGTGTGTGTGTGTGTATGGCTTAAGTTTTGCAAAAGCAAAAACAGGTCCTGGAGATCAGTTGCAAAACCGTGTGAACAGACAGGCCTTAACACGATTAAACTGTGCACTTAGAGATGGTATATGTTGTGTTATGAATATTTAACTATATATACACATACATACACACATATATGTATACACACACACACACACACACACACACACACACACACACACACATATATATATATATCCTTCCTGACTCCTGTAGCAGTCCCAAGTGCTTGGCTAACTGGTTGACCACATTTTATAAGAAGTGTAAAATGGGGTGGGGTAGAGCTAGAAAGAAAATGGAGAGAGCCAGAGCAGAGGAACTAGAACTATCAAATAACGGTGGGTGTTTTGCTCTAAAGCATCCCCTTCCCCTCCGGGGGCGGGTGCGGTGACACCCACGCAGGCGCCCAAGACAACTGCACCTCGGCGCAGGCGGCCAATGAGCACTCGCCTGCGGCCAGCCTCGCTCCTCCATTGGCTGCACCGCACCAACCGCGGTCCTTGTAGGTTCCCAAGCCGGGTTTAAAGGTGTCAGGCGCGGACTGTGGCTCTCTGTCGTCCACCCGCGCGCAGGTCCACGGGGAGGGTGATCTGCCGACCGGCCCGCCCAGGGCGTTAGTGCAGGGCGCCCTCGGTCGTCCCCACCGCCCCCCACCCCAGATGTACTATGCGGTTTCTCAGGCGCGTGTGAACGCGGCTCCCGCGACCATGCTGCGGCCACAGCGGCCCGGAGACCTCGGGACCTCGCTGTACGAGCTGGTGGGTTACAGACAGCCACCCATTTCATCCTCCTCCTCCCCCTCCACATCCTCCTCTTCGCCCACAGCGTCCCTCCTCCCCAAGGCTGCGCGCGAGAAGCCAGAAGCGCCTCTCGCTGAGTCGCTGGGAACCGCGCCGGAGTCCCGGGGCGCCCGGGCCGACGCCAAAGAGGAGCAGCAGCAGCAGCAGCAGCTGCGGCGCAAGATCAACAGCCGCGAGCGGAAGCGCATGCAGGATCTGAACTTGGCCATGGACGCGCTGCGCGAAGTCATCCTGCCCTACTCGGCGGCGCACTGCCAGGGCGCGCCGGGTCGCAAGCTCTCCAAGATAGCCACGCTGCTGCTCGCCCGCAACTACATCCTGCTGCTGGGCAGCTCACTGCAGGAGCTGCGCCGCGCGCTCGGCGAGGGTGCCGGGCCCGCAGCCCCGCGCCTGCTCCTGGCCGGCCTGCCCCTGCTGGCCGCCGCGCCTGGCTCTGTGCTGCTGGCACCCGGGGCCGTGGGGCCCCCCGAAACACTGCGCCCCACCAAGTACCTGTCGCTAGCGCTCGACGAGCCACCGTGCGGCCAGTTCGCTCTCCCCGCTGGTGGCGCAGGTAGCCCCGGCCTCTGCTCGTGTGCGGTTTGCAAGTTCCCGCATCTGGTCCCCGCTGGCCTGGGCCTGGCAGCGGTGCAAGCTCAGTTCTCCAAGTGAGGGCTGGCTGGGCCCGGGGCAGGGCGCGATCTCAGCCAATCTTCCCGCGCGCTCGCATCCTGGGTCTAGGGAGAGCTGGACCCAAGAAGGAGGACATTTCCAGACTTCTCTCCCAGACGACAGACTGTAGGGCGCCTTCCTCCCTGCCCCCACTCCCTAGCAATTAAAGTGACCCAAGCGGGTGTTCAGAGGAGCGACGCAGTTGCTTGGGGTTCTAGATGGATCCCACCTGTTTAGAGCCAGAAGCCATCGCATCCTTACCTTAAGCTCACCCAGTGGCGGGCATGATCCCGGGTCTCTCCCAGTAGCCTTGGCACCGCGGGGCGGGCAGGATGCTAGTCGGCAGAGCGGCACAGTCGGGCTGCCCAGCGTGCAGTGAAACGCTGCCTGGACCTCGGTGTCCTGGGATCCGCCAGCTCCCCAAAAGCGTTGACCCCCCCTACCCCGGTGGGGGGCTTCTTTCTTGTCCCTGAACTGAGCTCACAGGCTCGCTTGCTCCCACCAACTAAACGCATGTGGACCCAGGAGGTCTAGAAAGCCCAAGCCGTGTGTACAAACAGCAACGGTGTTGGCGGATGAATGCTCTGGAAGGCCGGAGTTTCCGAGAAGCTGTGGGCGGTGAGGGCGCCACGGTCATTGGGTGTGCGGAGTGGGGAGTTCGTCTGGCCTTACACTTCAGTTTTTCAGGCTCCAACACTCAGCTGTTTTGCTGCGGAGCATCCACTCCTTAAATCCTGGAAATCTACTTAGTTTCTTTGCCCCCCAAAGGTAGTTTAACCAACATTTGAGCTTGCTTGAAAACAAAACACCAATCACCTTTTCACGCCATCTGCCATCTGTGTTCCGGACTTACCAAAATAGGTAACGAGGCATTTCGTAGATGCAGGCTTGTGAAACTCCGTAATTAACGGTCTCATTAAAGTACGTGGCGGTGGGCGAGGATCCCAAACCGCCTGGGCTGGACAGACCCAGCTGCAGGCGGGAAGGCGCTGGCCCTTTAGCGCATGCCGCTCTTTAACCCACCACTTTGCAGCTGAGGAACTCCGTGGATGCGTGCACGCATGGGCTCCGTGTTTTGGTGTGTGTTTAGTGTTAGGAAATTGCCCAAGATTATCTCCTAATCTTCACCAGCTTGCTTTGATTTTTTATGTTGGAAGTTTTGGGTTGTTTGGCAGTAGCTGAATCTAACTGGCATTTTATCTGACCTCTAACTTTGTCGCCGCCCGCCACGAACTGTACACAAAATAAAATGTCGACAGTCGAATTTTTACATTTCTCGTCTGTTTGTTAAGGGAAAACGTCCTTGTACCACGGTTGAGTCTCAACATAGGGGTGAAGGTTACTAACTAAGCACTGGGTCTCCACATTTCAAAACTGGAGTTCCTGGATTGTGAAATATCCCAAGGAACAAGCAACTGTAATTCAAATTCAGACATCAGCTGGGAATGGAAGGGCTGTGGGTGGGTGATTAGAGGAGAGAGAGGAAATTCCAGAGACAGGGGTTGGCCAGACTTAGGAGCCAGGCCTCCTTTAAACACAGCTTTCTCCTGGTGAAAAAGTGAATTAAGCCATATATTATTATTATTTTTTTAACTTCAACATCTTTTTCTGAATTTTGTTTTTGTTTTTGTTTTTGTTTTTTGGGTTTTTTTTTGGTTTTTTTTTTTTTTGTCTTGTAGTAGGCAGAGTCATAAACAGACGTATAAATGCTTCCCATCTGCAGAAGTTTTTTGTTTGTTTTTTAAAGCGGGACATGGGATATACTTTAATTCCAAGTGAGAAGAGCATTGGGGTCCATCAGACCGATTGTAAGAATCCGGGGTGCTATATATCAAAATTGGAAATGTAGCACTTGAGAGATGGAGGCAAGAGGTTACCCTTGAGTTCAAGGCTAGCCTGGTATACATGAGACCCTGTGTCAGGAGAAGATAGAAAATAAAATATTTGGAATGCTGACTTTTTCACATGCTAGCTCCGTATAAATGTCTGTGAATACCCATTGCCCCCTTTAGCTGAGGGAAGTTCTAGAGAGCCTAGATGGTAGGCGAGGTGAGTTAATGTGCACAGTGGCTTGCCTGGGACATGCAGACAGAGAAGAGGAACTTTCCTTTGAGAACACACAGAGGGCTGCAGAGATGGCAACTGCTGCCTCTGTCCTGAGGGAACCCAGACTCCCAAGGGAGACTAGCTCTGCCCGCCCTGCCAGCTGCCAGCCATCGCAAAGAGGCCCCTCCCTCCCCGGCTGCCAGGGGTGCTGACTGAATGTTAGCCTCTCTCTTCTCCCTTTCTCTGCTTACCCTTGCTTACCTCACATCCTGATTTGGGGGGGGGGGGGCTGAAGAGGCAGCAATCATCAGCTAAAGGCAGGTGAGAAAGGCACACAGCCATGCTGCTAGTTTAGAAAAGTCCCTTCCAGCCTCATCTCCAGCACCGACTGTTCCTGTCATCCCAGACTCCCAGGGCAGGCGCTGCTTAGAGAGTAGGAAGTCAGCAACTGGGAATAGTATCTCACCCTCTTTCTTCAGCTGGAACTGGGACATGTACCCATGCCTTACTGGGAAATGCAGTGTGTGTGGTCTTCAAACAGAAAGTAATACCCTGAACTGCCTGCAAATTCAGGAGTGAATTCGATGAGGATGTGCAGGGTTGGTTTAGGGGCTATGTCTTAGAGTTTCTATTTCTGTGACAAACCCCATGGCAGAAAGCAGCTTGGGTTTATTTCAGCTTACAGCTCTCAGGTCACTGAGGGAAGTCAGGGCAGGGACTCCAGGTGGGAATAAAGCTGAGGCCACAGAGGAGGGCTACTAACTTCCCCTTGCCTTTCTAGGGCCTTCTTCCACTATCCAGGACCCCCTGCCCAGGGGTGGCTCCACCCACAGTGAGCTGGGCCCTCCCCCACCAATCCTCAGTCAAGAGAATGTGAGGGTTTGCCAGTCTTCTAGGGCATTTTCTCCTTGGAGGTTCCCTTTCCTAAATGATGCTAACTTGCATCAAACTGACAAAACTATAACAATTAACAACCGGGTCAGGGCAACTTCAAAATCATTAACATCATCTGCCTGCAGCCTCTTATCAGCCATGTGCCCAGCAAGGTTGGTAGGACTGGTCTTCATCAGGGGTTTGTAGCCTGAGTAAAGTGTCTCAGCAGGCATCCAGGAGCCCTGCTGGATGAATGAGAGACTGTACTGGATGAGGAGCAAAGGCCGTGTAGCATCCCTGTGACAGAGGACCCCTCAGGCGCAGGGCTCAAGCTCAGATGCATACAGTGGCATACAGGGCTCAGATGCATACAGGGCTTCAAGCTCAGATGCACAATGGCTACCAAGTCTGCACTGCCCCATGGAGTTGGCAAGGGAAGCCACTGAGGCCCCACCTCCCCTGATTTCAGGGGACAGTAGCAAAGCAGAGAGGGTTTAGAAGGGGTGTTTGGACTAGAAAGGGAAGATGTGGCTTGGTGCCTAGAAAAAAACGCCCCTGTGTTCAGTTACCCATCAGTGTGCAATCCCAGCAGTCCTAGAGAAACGCACACAGGCTGAGAAAGCCAGCTTATATGTTGAAGGTCAGTGATCGGTGGTAACTAAGCAGATGAAAAGCCGGAAGGTGTCATGGGATTTCCCTAGCACGGTGACATCTCCTGGCAGGTGATCCCTCCGAGGAAAAGCAGTTGTTCGGGGTATGGAAACGCTGCTGCATGAAATACTTAATTGAGTAGTTTCCACCTGCAAAGAGGGTCCACCTCAAACGTGAAAACCACCACACTTCCCTCCAGTTCAGAGCTCCAGCTCTGTGAGAGTTTGGGGGGGTGGTGTGTGAAGGGGTCTTCTTCTATCGTCCTCCATCTCACATATTGAGGTACAGTCTCATGAACTCAGAGCTCATCAATCCAGCTAGTCTGTCTGGCTAGCTTCCCCTGGGGATCCAGTCTTTGCCTCCTGAGTGCTGGGTTACAGGCCAGTTACCATGCCTACCCAGCTGGCTTTTATGTGTCTTTTCACTGGACCTACAGACTAGGGTTTTTACACGTATGCAGCAAGTATGTTGCCTGCTGAGTCATTTTCCCAGCCCCAAGTTGAACGGGGTCTTTTTATGTTTTAGATTCTTTTCGTAGGTTTGTTTAACCTTTATTTTATGTGTATGAGCATTTGCCTGCATGTATAGACATACATGTACATCACATGCACACAGTGCCCTAGAGAACCTGAAAAGGGTATCAGATCCCCTGGACCTGGAGACAGCTGTGAGCCTCCAATGGGTGCTGGGAATTGGACCTGGGTCCTTTGGAAAAGTAAGCCAATGGATGTTCTTAACCTCTAAGCTATCTCTCCAGGCCTGGATTTTTTAATAGTATGTATATGTGTGTGATTGTGTGTGTGGGGGGGTATTTGCACCTGCATTCAGATGCCATAAAGGCCAGAGATGCTGGACTTCCCTGAAGCTGGAGTGACAGGTGGTTATCAGCCACCTAAGGTGGGTGCTAGGAATTGAACTTGGGTCCTCTGTACACATTCTTAACCTCTGAGCCATCTCTCCAGCCCTGGTGGGGTGGCTCTTTCCCCCTTTCATCCTTCACTGGTTGCCCACGTGTGCAGGTGAGACTGTAAACCACTGCTTAGAACTTCAGTCGGCTAGCTAGCTGTCCAGCTCACTGTCTCACTGTGTAGTGTACCAGCTAACTGTCCCAGCTCACTGTGCAGTGTGCTAGCTATGTGTCAGCCAGCTGTCCCAGCACATTGTGTGGTTGGCAATGGAAGGCAGCTGGAAAGGAGAGCTTTTCCTTCAGCCACAGAACAAGGTGACAGTTGGGATGAGTTGCTCAGTGGCTGCTCTGACTTCTGGAGTAGGATGTATCCTTCAAAAAGCATTTTCTTGCTTGTTCACCCTACACACATCAGGGAAGAGGGACTCTGGAGTGAGGGACTCCATCAGACTGGCTTTGTGAGCATGTTAATTCTGATTGGCTCAGGAAGAGCTATCCCACCATGGGCAGGTGGACCTGGACCGGGTCAAACAGGAGCAAGCCAGGGGAGTAAGCCAGTGTGCAGCATCTCCTCTGTGGCCTCTGCTTCAGCTCCTGCCTCCAGGTTCAGTTCCTGCCCTCAGCTCCTGCCCTGGCTCCCCTACATGAGGGGCCTGTGGCCTGGAAGCCAAACAAACCATTTCCTCCCTCTCTGCTTTTAGCCAGCGTTTTATCACAGCCATAGGGATGCTAACAAACACAAACATGTTGGGGCTGTTTTTTAAAAGAGATCCCACTCTTAACCAAACCCAAGAAAATGGAAATGCCTGAGCGGAAATCAAGTCAGCCTTTCTGCTGCTGTGGGATTCACTGCTCCATCTAGAAACTTCTCTGTCATGAGATACCCACTT